GGGGGTGGGGTATTTTGGGTAAAAGGGAAAGGAAAAAAAAAAATTTTAAAAACAAATCGGACCTGGACCCGATCTGTGTCTGCCGCGGTTCTACCGCGGTCGCGGTAGAAACGCGGTAGACCAAGTTCATAGGGTCGTACTTACCGCGTTTCTATGCGACCGCGATAGAAACACGATAACCTGGGTTCAGAGAGGGGTCAGTACCGCGGTTTGACCGCGGTCGCGGTGGAACCGCGGTCTGACCGCGTCTCTGATTCTGACGTCTTTTTTTTTATGTTATACTTACAACAATTTTGTGAGTTGCCTCCCACGGAGCGCCTGATTTAACGTCGCGGCACGACGCAGGATGAGCGCATTTAAGGCTCGCTCGACCTCTGTGGTTTAGTCAGGTGTAGTGCAGACCCTTCCTTAAGCTCGCTCATACCCACATACAACTTCAATCTCTGACCATTGACTCTAAATGTACGAGAGTCATTCTCAGTGGCAACTTCAACCGCTCCTGACGGGAAAACTTCAACTACTCGAAATGGTCCCGACCATCGTGACTTCAGCTTGCCCGGGAACAACCTTAGTCTTGAGTTGTATAGCAATACCATGTCCCCAGGTTTGAAATTTCGCTCAACAGTGTTTTGATCGTGTAGTTTCTTCATTCTCTCTTTGTACAGCCTTGTGCCCTCAAAAGCAAGATACCTGAATTCCTTGAGCTCATGCAATTCTGTGACTCTTGATGTGCCCGCAGCTTCCATATATAAGTTTAGTTGCTTCAGTGCCCACCACGCTTTATGCTCAAGTTCTACAGGTAGGTGACAGGCCTTCCCAAACACTAACTTGTATGGTGACATACCAATTGGTGTCTTGAAAACTGTTCTGTAAGCCCAGAGTGCATCATCTAGCTTCCTTGCCCAATCAGTTCTTGTGGCATTTACAGTTTTCGTTAACATACTCTTGATTTCCCTGTTGGATACCTCAACCTGTCCACTAGTCTGCGGGTGGTAAGGAGTAGCTACCTTGTGGCGCACATCGTATTTCATAAGCAACTTCTCGAAGGCTCTATTGCAGAAGTGAGTGCCTCCGTCGCTAATAATCGCCCGTGGTGTCCTAAAGCGGGCGAATATGTTCTTCTTTAGAAATCCCACCACCACTTTCGCATCATTTGTGGGCAATGCTACAACTTCCACCCACTTGGACACATAGTCTACAACAACAAGGATGTATTTATTGCCATAGAAGCTAACGAAGGGACCCATGAAATCAATCCCCCAGACGTCGAACACTTCTATCTCCTGAATTGGGTTCATGGGCATTTCGTGGTGCCGCGAAATTTTCCCGGTGCGTTAACATTCATTACAACCCTTCACCCATGAGTGCGCATCTTTAAACACAGTTNGGCATCCTCCTAAAGGCATAGATGCCATAAGGGCATGTGAAGGAGGTCTTCTCTCGATCCTCAAATGCAATGGAAATCTGATTGTACCCTGAGTACCCGTCCAGAAAACAAAAGTGTGACCTCCCTACTAATCTATCCAGCATTTGATCAATGAAGGGNCCTTCGCTGCTGTCCTGATCCCTCCAAAGTGTCCACCATAAGCCGATGCATGACAAGCCTGCAAAATAGAAGATTGTTCTATCTCGGAGACGCATCTCCGGATCATGTTATCCAGGCATATTCTAAAGAGATAGGGCTCATCCCAATAGTACAAGCGGCTTTCACGAAAAAATTGTTTCCTCTGGACCAATGAAAGGTCGTGAGGGACTATACCACTAGCTAGGTAATTGTCCAAGTCCGCATACCATGGCGCTTCCTAATGAGTGGTGGCGAGCAGTTGCTCGTCTGGAAAAGTTTCCAGAATTTCCTCAACTTCAATTGCATTTTCAGATCCCTCAAGTCGTGATAGGTGATCAGCGACTTGATTCTCAGTGCCCTTGCGGTCACGTATTTCAAGATCAAACTCTTGCAGAAGCAGCACCCAATGAATCAGGCGTGGCTTAGAGTGTTTCTTTTCTATTAAGTATCTGAGAGCAGCATGGTCAGTGTATACAATTACCTTTGATACTATCAGGTAGGACCGTAACTTGTCGAATGCGAACACCACAGCTAGCATCTCCTTTTCAGTCACCGTATAGTTCAACTGGGCTCCACTCAGCGTTCTACTAGAATAGTAGATTGGGTGCATCCATTTATCTTTTCGCTGGCCCAGCACTTCCCCCACTGCATAATCACTAGCGTCACACATTAGTTCGAACGGTTGCTCCTAGTTGGGGGCAACAATGATGGGTGTTGTGACCAGCTTCTGCTTCAGCTCCTCAAACGATACCCTGCAATCATCAGAAAATACAAACGGGTGATCTTTCTCTAATAACTTACAGAGAGGATTGGCGATTTTGGAGAAGTCTTTTATGAACCGCCGGTAGAAACCGGCATGTCCAAGGAAACTCCTGATTGCTTTGACCGAAGTTGGTGGAGGCAGCTTTGCTATTACATCAACCTTTGCTCGATTCACCTCTATTCCCTTGATTGACACCCGGTGCCCCAAGACTATGCCTTCTTGTACCATGAAATGGCACTTTTCCCAATTCAGCACCAGATTAGTCTCGATGCACCTTTTCAGCACACACGTCAGATTCACCAGGCACTCATCAAATGAATTCCCCACCACTGAGAAGTCATCCATGAACACCTCCATTATATCCTCAACCATGTCAGTGAATATGGCCATCATGCACCGTTGGAATGTGGCGGGTGCATTGCATAGGCCAAAGGGCATCCTCCTAAAGGCATAGATGCCATAAGGGCATGTGAAGGAGGTCTTCTCTCGATCCTCAGGTGCAATGGAAATCTGATTGTACCCTGAGTACCCGTCCAGAAAACAAAAGTGTGACCTCCCTGCTAATCTATCCAGCATTTGATCAATGAAGGGAAGTGGGAAGTGGTCTTTCCGGGTGGCTAGATTCAACTTTCGATAATTCATGCAAATTCTCCAGCCTGTGACGGTTCTCGTTGAGATTAGTTCATTGTTGTCATTCTTCACAACCGTCATGCCACCCTTCTTAGGCACACATTGAACTGGGCTAACCCAGCTGCTGTCAGAGATTGGGAAAATAATTCCCGCATCTAGCCACTTTATCACTTCCTTCTTCACCACCTCCTTCATATTCGGGTTCAGCCTCCTCTGATGTTCCCTGGAAGGTTTGTGCCCCTCTTCCAGCAGAATCTTATGCATGCAGTACGCGGGGCTGATCCCCTTGATGTCTGCCATGGTCCACCCAATGGCAGTTTTGCACTCCTTCAATACCTGTAGAAGCTGTTGGACCTGCACATCTAACAAACCAGATGAGATAATAACAGGTAGAGTGGAGTTAGGTCCCAGAAATTCATACCTGAGGTGGCCTGGCAATGGCTTTAGTTCCAGCTTCGGTGGTTCTTCAATGGATGGCTTAGCTGGAGGAGTCTCCCTCTTTTCTAAGTGTAGGGGCTCAAACTCTAGATTTCTTTCCCAAAACCCTCTACCTTCCAATGACAACACCCATTCTGCCATGTCCTCACCGTTCACTTCCTCCAAATTCATCAAACATGCAGCGATGGGGTCCTCAATCGTCAACACTTCATCATCAGACTGAACGATTACATCCACGGCATCCAGAAGAGAGAAATTTGCGAACTCACTTGGGCGCCTCATAGATTTCTGCACATTGAATATAATCTCTTCGTCATTGAGCCTCATCTTAAGCTCCCCGGTCTCACAATCAATAAGAGCTCTCCCTGTGGCCAAGAATGGTCTTCCTAAGATGATAGGAATTTCTTCATCCACTTTGCAATCCAATATCACAAAATCAGCAGGGAACACGAACTTCCCCACCTGAATAAGTACATCATCAAGGAACCCAAATGGACGCTTCACAGTCCTGTCGGCCAGCTGCAACAACATAGAAGTGGGTCTAGCTCTCCCAATGCCCAACCTCTTGTAAATGACCAGAGGCATAAGATTAATGCTGGCCCCTAAATCATAGAGTGCTTTCGCAAAAGCAAAGTTTCCAATAGTACATGGAATAGTAAAACTCCCGGGATCCGAGAGCTTTTCAGCAACAGGTCTAGTTACCACTGCACTGCACGTCTGAGTAAGTGTCACCGTAGCCAAGTCTTGGAAGTCAAATTTCCGGGACATTAAGTCTTTCATCATTTTTGCGTATCCAGGCATCTCATTTAAAGCTTCGATCAATGGAATATTTACCTGGATTTGCTTGAGCATCTCAAAGAACTTTTTGTATTGCTCCTCCTTTTGGTATTTAGCCAACCTCTGGGGAAATGGTGCAAGAGGTCTTTTCTTCCCAATCACTTGGGACTTTTCTTTCTCAGCTACTATCTCTACTACTGGCTCTTTAACTGCTTCAGCAACTTTCTCAGTCTCCTGCTGAGTATTCTTTTCTTCCTGAGCAGGCTGGACTGTCACATCTGTCAGCCTTATGGATTCATCTAGTTCAATGGGTACCTGAATAAGTGTCTCAGCCTGTATATTGGCACGAACTCTCTCCTGCTCTTCATCGAGATCCCTGCCATTACAGAGACTCACCGCCATCAGCTGCTTCAAGCCCTGATCTTTAGGATTGATTTAGGTATCTGCAGGTAGCGTTCCTTGAGGATGATTATTCAGAGACATTGAAATTTGGCCCACCTGCACTTCAATATTTTTGATAGTTGCATCATGTGCATCTACTCTCTCATTTATCTTCGCAGTGGACCCAATAACCTGCTGCATCATTGCTTCCAGTCTAGCAAACCCATCATCCTATCTTCCACCATGCTACTGCTGAGGCGGGTGGTACCCCTGCTGCTGATTGTTGTACCCCTGGGATCTAGGATACGGTGCCATGTTGTTGAGGGGTCTTATACCTCCCATGTTTCCGGCATTATATTGTGGCGGAGGTGGTCTGTACTGTTGTTGAGTCTGCTTNCATCAAAACCTTAGACAAAAGATTTAGCTACTCATAACTATGGGTAAACAAACTAAGATAAGATTCATCATAAACTAGCAATAGAAATCAAAGAAAAGAAAAAAGATGTTTTGGGTGATCTCTCACAATTCTTTTTCTTGCCAAGATACTCACAAAATCAATACATACTTCTCTTGGGCGAAGTCTAGTGTTTAAAATAGGGTTTTGGGCTAAAAATCCCGTGTTTTGCACTTTAGTCCCTGAAATTCCCGCCTCCTGCCGCGGTTCTGCCGCGGTCGCGGTAGAACCGCAGCCAAACATGGCCTCTGATCTTTCTTCTATCCGCAAACATCCTTCTCCGCGGTTCTACCGCGGTCCTGGTGGAACCGCGATAGACTCAATTTTCTGATTCTTCAGCCTATTTTGCGTGGTTCACTTGGGATATTTCATGGTTGGCCTCTCTTTCTTCATTTTTTTTCACTCCAAACGTGCTCCCTAGCCTTCCTTAGTCATATATAACCTGCAAATTATGAAAAGCACTAATAAGAGCATTTTGTTATCACTTTTATTATNTGATCACGCCCAACTATGCCTTATAAAAAGGACAATGCGGACGTTGCAAATATAACCCGAGTATTACGCCTAGGGTCGAATCCACAGAGAGTCAACCTATCAATCACTATCTTTAGA